AAATCCATGCTGGTTCTTTCTAATCAAACCACTTTTTTTGTGAGGTGACTGTGAATTCTATTCTGAAAAATTGTTTCTGGAAGCTTCCTCACCACTGAAGTTAAACTAACTCATTAGTTGATGGCCTTATCCTTATAGCCTTTTTCTGATCTGGAGTATGATGTTTGCAATTCCCCATTCTTCTGGCAACTCTCCTAAGTCCAGTGAACCATGACCAGTACTCCTACAATTTTCACTGTCACATGTTTTAATATTCATGGATGGATCTCATCTGATCCCAGTGCCTTATCAACTCAAGTACAAACAGCCTATCCAAATACTTCTTCACTATCAATTTTGAACCCTTCTAGAGTCAGTTTTGTCTTCTCTCACCATAACCTGGATGACTAAATGCTTGGTAAAGACAGATGCATAGTATTCATTTAATACTGCGGCTGTGTATAAATCCCCTGTTGCTCATTCTTCTTTTAACCACACTTAACTATTTTCATGCCTTTTGCTATTTGTATGCCAACAGAAGACACTGGGATTCCCCTTTATGTTTGTGACCAATTATTCATGATTCATCTTTGCTTCTCTAATATGGTTTTTTTCACCTCCTCTCTAAACCTTCTGTATTCTTCGTGGTTCTCAATTGTTATTTTCTATATGAAACCACTCAAAAGCACACATTATTTCCTTTATCTAAACTTCTATCTCCTTTGTCATCCAGGAATTGTTTGCCCTCTGTTCCCCTTTTGAGAGAATACACTTTGACTGTTGACCGAACCATCCCATCTTTGAAGATGTCCCATTTTACAGGGACAGTTTTCCCACCAATCTTTTTGTCTAAATGGCCCAGCTCCATTCTTGCCTCATTGGCTCTACATCAATTGACTTTTTAAAATTCAGATTGACCATCATCAATATAAAAGTAGGGAAGTGTTGCTGCTATCATACAAGGCATTAGTGAGACCACACCTGGAGTACTGCTTACAAATTTGGTTCTCTTACTTGAGGGGGGATGTAGTTGCATTGGAAGCAGTTCAGAGGAGATTCACTAAATGGATTCAAGAGATGAGGAGTTTGTCTTATGAAGAAAGATTGAGCAGTTTAGGCCTGTACTCAGTTTAGAAGAATGAGAGGAGATCTAATTGAGGGATAAAGAGTACTAAAGGGGATTGACAAAGTAATCATAGAAAGGGTGTTTCTTCATGTGGGGTAAACTAGAAATGAGAGGTCATAGTTTTAGGGTGAGGGACACCAGATTTAAAACAGAGGAGGACAAGTCACTTCTCCCAAAGGGCTGTGAATCTGTAGAATTCACTACCCCAAAGTCCAGTGGATGCTGAGACATTGACTAAATTTAAGAAGGAGCTAGACAGGTTTTTAATTACTAATGGATTGAAGGGTTATGGAGAGTTGACAGGAAAGTGGAATTGAGGCCAAGATGAGATCAACCATGATGGTATGAAGTGACGGAGAAGGCTCAAGGGTTTGAATTGCCTACTCCTGCTCCTAGTTCTTATGTTCTACACCACACCGTCATCCTATTCTTTCTGATACAATAATCATGTAAATTCTTCCCCTACTCACATGTGATCTCCTTGGCCCACCTCATTTCAAAGAACGAGGTCTAACAGTGGATCTTTTCCTGTTGGACTGGATACAACTCCTTTGGTAAATTCTCCTCATTAGAATCTAGGAACACTCTTCCCTCACTTACTCTACCAGTATTCCATTTTATATTACAAAATTGTAAAGTCCCCTGGTGTTCTTGTCTAACATTCTCTTTTGGTCCAACAGCACAAGTAAAGTGCCCTGCAAGATGCTCAGTTCCACCTCTGGTCAGGAACAATCTGTCCAACTTGCATAGGGACATAGAAACATCAGTAGGTCAATTAGTCCCTCGAATCTGGTCCACCATTTAAAGAGATCATGGCTGATCTGTTGGTCTAACTCCATATCCTTGCCTTTGGCCCATATCCTTTAATACTTTCATTTAACAAAAAATTAACTCTCTCAGATTTAAAATTACCAACTGATCCCACATATACTGCCGTATGTGGAAGACAGCTCCAAACACCCACAACTGTGTAGAAGTCATAGAGTCACACAGTAATGCAGCATGAAAATGTTTCCCAAAATCTCTGCTGAAAGTCTAGCCTTAATTCTCAGACTACGCCCCCTAGTTCTACAATCCCCAACCAGCAGAAATACTTTATCTTTATCTACCCTGTCATTTCCTATTAACATCTTGAAGACTTTGACCAAATCGCCCCTTAACTGTCTAAATTCCAGAGAAAACTGGCCTAATTCATAACTTAACCTCTGAAGTTCAAGTATAGTTCTTGTAAACTTTACGCTGTACTTTCTCCAAAGTGACTACATCCTTCCAAAGATGTGGTGCCCAGATCTGCTCACAGAGTCCAAGTGGAGTCTAACCAGAGTTAGAAGGATGCAGCAGTATCACTTCTGCATCCCTTGTACTCCAGTCTTCCACATGTAAAAGGCAACGTTCCACTAGATTTCTTGATTACTTTTTCACCTGTTTGAGAGATTTTAAATACTTATAAATCTGAACCTCCAAGTCTCTTTGGACATCCACAATATTTCACTTCAGATCACCAACTTATCATTTTTTCAGTCCAAAATAGATAACCTCACACTCTCACTTACAAACGCCATCTGCCACACAGTTTTATCCATTCACTTAGTCAATCAATGTCACTTTGTAATTTTATGTTATCATCTCCACTGTCAGTAATGCTGCCTAACTTTGTGCCATCGGCAAATGTGGATATATGACTTTCTATGCTATTATCCAAGTCATTAATGACTAAAGTGAATAATTAGGTGCCCTAACAGATCCGTGTAGGAAACCACTGGTCTCATCCTGCTAATTTGAATACAAACACATTATCCCTACTTTGTCATGTGCCACTCAACCACTTTCGGAGCCATGTATTTTGCCCTCAATTCCGTGGACTTCTACCTTAGTTAATAGTCTCTTTTGTGGGACTTGATCGAATGCCTTCTGGAAGTCCACATAAACAACATCCATATACAAACTCATATCCATCATACATCCGTAAAAATTCCCTGGTCCATTACACAGACTGTTTACTGTAACTTCTGTAGGGGCTGTCTTCCAGAGAACCAGGCCCAGTTTTGCAGGCATCTGACATGCTCCCTCCTACCAACCTTATTCTTCTACATTTTGCTTCTATATCTGTGCTCACTTACATATGGCAAAGAGAGTAATCCAGAAATTACTACATTTCATGTCCTGCTTGCTAATTTTATTCTTAGCTGCCTAATTTCCAATTACAGAACCACACTTGCCTTCCTGCCTAACTCATTAATATCAATATGGACTAGAACCTCAAGCTGTTTGCCTTCACCAGAAGAATGTCCTGCAGTTGCTCTGTAACATCCTTGACTCGGTCATGGGAAGGTAACATATTATCTTGGAGTCATGTCTATAGCCACACAACAGATGAATCCCTATTGCTGTTCTTTGCTTCTTCTTTTCATCCTGTATAATTGAGCTGCTTAGAGAGTGTCACAAATACAGCTCCGACTGTACTCCCTTGAAGAACTAGCCCTCTCATCAACTTCCAAAACAGGAAACAATTTGGGAGCAGAACCCCAGGGAACTCCTGCACTACCTGCCTGTTTCTATTGGACTGCCTAGTAGCCACCCATTCCCGTTCTGCCTCCCTTTTCTTAAGTTATGGTGTGACCACCTCACTTTTGGGCAGCACAGTGGCTCAGTGGTTAGCACTGCTGCCTCACAGCTCCAGGGACCTGGGTTTGATTCCACCCTCGGGTGACTGTGTGGGGTTTCTACATTCTCCCAGTGTCTGGGTGGGTTTCCTCCAGTTTCCTTCCACAGCCCAAAGATGTGTAGGATAGGTGGATTGGCCATGCTAAATTGCCCGTAATGTTCACGTGTAGATTAGGTGGGTTGTAGGGGAATGGGTCTGGCTGGGAAGCACTGAGGATTGGTGTGGACTTGTTGGGCCAAAGGGCCTGTTTCCACACTGTAGGGATTCTAGGATTCTATTACTCCAGCCACCGCTTGAGCTCAGAAACCTGAAGCTCAGGTTTCTGCAGTTGGCAGCACTTCCTGTACAGGTGTGCTCAGACATCAGAGGGTCCATGAGTTCCCAAATATTACAGCCAACATGTTCCATTCAATTGAATTGTGCTGCCAATGTATTAACTTTACTCTGCTTTGGACTCTTTATGTTGGCACCGGCATTCCCCTATTCCTGGGGATTCTCAGTCAAATCCACTTCTTTAAAAATAATACTTTTGTAATTTACAGCAACAGAAAGCGAGTCCCTAACAGCAGATTCTTACCAAGGACTGAACTTATTGCAAAAGAGGAGGAAAAACACACCACTCCACCCTTCACCAGATGTCCCAATCAGAGCTACACTTCTTACAGTAAACTTTACTTAAAGCACTTCTTCCCCTTCTGCATCAAAAACCAATTTTAAATTAAATTCCCAGCTGTACTTACTCAAAATCGGTCTTTCGATTTGATAAGGAAATGACAAAATATCACCACTCAGGACCGTAGGAGATTGGAAGACCGAGTATGGATTATGATAGGAGATATTATAATAGAGAAAGAACAGTGAATTGAGGGAGCGTGGGCAACTGAAATGAAGATAACAATCAGAACATGAGGAAATCATACGCCGAACGTGACAGAGAGAAGGAGGAAGGCCATGTTAGGTTTAAAATAAAACCCAAGAACTACGGATGCTGGAGATCTGAAACAAACAGAAAGTGCTGGACCTTTGAAGGGTCACTGGACTCAAAACATCAACGCTGCTTTCTCTCTCCAGATGCTGCCAGACCTGCTGAGCTTTTCCAGCAATTTCTGTTTTTGTTCTCTATTTATCAACTGCAATCGCATTTTATTTGATTTCTCACTGAACATTTAGCTTCTAAAGAATAAACATAGATCTATTTCCCATCTCGCACATTTTGTTTTGTAAACTTACCTTGAAATAGATAGATAAAATGAAGCTTTCTAAATAGATCTGAATTGGGTATTCGAATCTTGAACAACTTCAACCTAGAGGTGCAAGTATAACGAGAATTTTGAAAATGAGGGAGAAATCGGGGCTGGATAGATATATGATCAGGCATAACCACGTACGCATAAAGACGAAAGAGACCTCAAAATGTGAATGCTGGCGTTCAGGAGAGACATTCCTCAGCCAAATAAAAACAAAACAAATCAGGTCATGCCAAGAGAATTAACCATTTAAAGAAATCATGAAGGCGGTTTAATTCCGTACAGAAGAAAAAAAGTAAGTTGAGAAACTACGTTGCACTCTGTCCTTGATATGTGATGATTCATTTTTTGCAACGTCAAAGTGGTTTCACAAAATTATCTCAAGGGAACCAAATAATGACTCCGCAAATTAACGCCCAGAGAACACGTGGAGTGTGCAGTAAGATTATTGTTCCTATCAATACAGAAGAATTTTATCAGAACCAGTTCCTCATTGTTTGAGGTGTTTAGGCACCTGTTAAGCTGCATTGAGACTAACACGGTAGGTGTGACCGATAGTAACCCCATGGCTGCCTCCTGTACCACACAACATTTTGTGTGTTTAAGGGGCTGAGTGACTCTGATGCCGCTAGTCTTTAGATCGCACTTCACAGCTACTGCTTCCCCCCGCCCGAGAACATAAATAGCAATACCGTACATTTTATATAGAAAACCTTCCCAAGATCACAAGGTAACAATTAGAGGACTAAGGATCCATGTGTAAGGAAATGTATTAAATGTCTCTGTGGCAACCTGTCAGCCACATGTTTACAATCATATTCCGTGCAAAATACAAACATAGGGCACACGATGAATTTTAAATAAGCCAAGTCTCTAAATACAAGCTAACAAAAGATCAGAGATAGCCCGCATGATAACAGCACGTTTCAAATTGTCACTAATTATCTTTATCTCCATTGGTTGTAATTGTGTTGATTTAGCAGTTTCCATCCCAGGGGGTGTATGTTTTTGTTTTGGAGGCTGGCTACGGGGAATCACTAGCCGTTACAGTCTGGAAAAGTGAAAAGAGACTCACATGTAGCGCTGACTCTTAGCTTCACGCTCGGTCCAGATCCAGGTCCAATCTCTCATTCATGAAGCTGAGGAACAGATAGTGACTGACAGCCGGCTCGGCTAATGACCACACCGGTATATGGCGTTACGTCTGTACACCAATCAGAGAGACTCTGACCGACTGAGTGACATGAATATGATCCATTCACAACCAGCGGATCCCAAGTGAGTGATGCTCGAATCTCCTCACTATAACCCACGCTGTGCAAAGATGATCAGTGCATACTGAAATTGTTACTTTTTTGTTACATATTCGCAGCGTTTAATGTTTTATTTACCTTTGTTTCATTGGAAATTATTTATAATTCTGCAAAAGCCAAGAAATTCACACCATTGATTTCAACCACAGTTTTGTATCCTACCATCCCTTCTTTCAGTGAAAGAAAGACTTGCATTTATATTGTGCCCATTATGATTGTTTGATGTGCCAGGACTGTACGCAATTCTACAGCTGAGGCTGGCTCAGCATTTTATTTTGCTTTTTTTCTTTTTACAACAGTGGTACTTATATTTCCCCACAGCAGCCGTGTTGTGTGTGTGTGGAATGCAGGGACTTAGTGAAGACACCATTGTGCAAAAGATTTTGTTCAATGTTTCCACCAAGAGGAAAAACACCCATGTGGCCAGTGACCCAGTACCAAGCAAAGCCCGATAAGAGCAATGCTGATATTGGCTCAGTGTTTTATACAGGCTTATTGTTATGATCTGTATAAAACACTGAATAGGTCTCAACTGAAGGTAAATGTCGAATTCTGGGCACCATATGGGAAAGTATTAGAGCGTTTGCAACAAAGGCACAAGAATAAATAGGAAAGATTTCCCAACTATGGCTAATGAACGAAATTCAGGATAGTATTAGATGCAAGGGCATACAAGTTGACCAAAATAAAGCAGCAGCCCTGATAATTGAGAGCAGTTTAGAATTCGGCTAAGTAGGACAATGGAATTTATTAAGATGGAGATAATACAGTATGAGAGAAAGCTTTGCAAACATTATAGAAGCTTCTATAGTCATGTGAAAAAGACTGATGAAGAGAAACGTATGTCCTTATAGTCACAAGGGAAGTTATATAATGGTGTTATAATTAAATACATAGTTTAGTTCTGTCTTCACAAAGGAGAACACAAATAATGTCCCAAAACCTTGGGAACACATGATCTAGTGAGAAGGAGGAACTGAAGGAAATCATATTAGTAGGGAAATGGTGTGGCAGAGTTTGATGCGTTAAACCCCCAGGACCCGATAATTTACATCCATGAGTATATAAGGGATTGGCTGTAGAAATAGAGGATGCAATAGTGGTCATCTTTCAAGATTCTATGGACTCTGGAACAGTTCCTATGAATTGCCAAGTAGCTAATGTAACTCCAATATTTAAGGAAGGAGGTGGAGAGAAAAACAGGGAACTGTCAACTAGTTAGCCCAACATTAGAAAATGCTAGAGTCCATTATAAAAGGTCCAATAGCGCAGCATTTTGAAATCAGTGACAGAACTGAACAGAGTTGACATAGACTTAGAAATGGGAACTATACTTGACAAAATCAACTGGAATTTTTCAAGGATGTAACTAGTAAAGTTGAGAAGGGTGAGCCAAAGGATATGGTTTACATGGACTGTCAGGAGATCACCTCGGATAATGTCCCACATAAAAGATAAGCAAGTACAATTAAAGCACATGGAATTAGGGTAGTGCATGACATAGATAGAGAACTGGTTGTCAGATAGGAAACAAACCGTAAGAATAAACAGGTGTTTTCCCAAATGGTACGCAGTTACTAATGGGATAACACAGGGATCAGTGCTTGGACCTTAGCTATTTGCAATATATATTAACAATTTTGATGAAAGAACTAAATGTAATATCCCAGTTTGCAGATGACAAAGTTGGACAGGATAGCAAACTGTGTGGAAGATGCAGAGATGCTTCAGTGTGATTTGGACAAGTTGAGTGAATTGGCAAATGCATGGCAAATGAAGTACAAGGTGGCAAAGACACGCAGGCAGATTATTATCTGAACACAGATTGGGAAAACAGGAGGTGCAACAAGACCTAGGTGTCTTTGCACATCAGTGGCTGAAAGTAAGCTTGCAGGTGCAGCAAGCAGTGAAAAAGGAAAATGATATGTTGGCCTTCATAGCGAGAGGATTCGAATACACAACTTGTCTTGCTGCAATTGTACAGGGTCCTGGTGAGACCTCACCTGGAGTATTCTGTGCAGTTTTCATCTCCTCACCTGATGAAGGATGTTCTATCTATAGATGGAGTGCAACAAAGGTTAACAGATTCATTCCTGAGATGGCAGGATTGATATCTAAATAGAAACTAGATTGACTCAGAATATTTTCACTGCTGTTTGGAAAAATGAAGGGAGATCTCAGAAAACTAAATAATCCTAATAGGACTAGACAGCATTAACACAAGAAAGATTTTCCCAGTGATCCTGGAATCTGAAATCTGGAGTTATAGTTTAAGGATATGGGATTGGCTATTTAGGATTGAGAAATTTCTTCACCAGAGAGATGAGTTTTTGAATTCTCCGTCACAGAACGTAATTAAGATCAAAACATTGAATACCTTTGAGAAGGAGTTAGATTTTTTTTTCATACTAAAGGAGTCGAGGGGTGTGGGGAGAAGGCAGGAACAAAGGATCAAGTTAGATGATCAGCCATGATCATAATGAATGGTGGGGCAGGTTTAAAGGGCCAAATGGCCTAGTCCTGCTCCAGTTTCCTGTGTTTCTAAAGTTTCAAGGGAATGGTTCCTGGAATGAGAAATTTCAGTTTCGTAGAAAGATTGGAGAAGCTGAAACAGTTCTTCTTCCAAGTAAGCTGGTGGTGGGGAGAGAGAATGGTGTTGGGAGGAGATATTCAAAATCACAAAGACAACCAGCAGTAAAAAGACTTAAATTTACATAGCACCTTTCACAAACTCAAAACTTCAAAATGTTTTACAGCCTATAAAACACTTGTCAAGTATGGCCACTGGTGTAATATTTAAACATGGCAGCAAATTTACATACAGGAATCTCCTACACAGAGCAATGTAATAATGAGCAGATAATCTGTTTTATGTGATGTTGACTCTGGGATAAATATTGGCCAGTCACCATGGATAATTCCTCCAACTCTTCCTCAAAACTGTTGGATATATTACAGCTATGCAAGGAAGTAGACAGGATCTCAGCTGAGAAACAGCACTGCAGAAATCCTATAATACACCATCAAAATGTCAGCATACAGTTTTCCTCAAAGTCATTGAAAAGGACTTAAACTAATAACATTCTGATCCAGAAGCAAGATCGCTATCAAATAAACCATAGTTCACTTGTAGGTGAACACAGCAGCTCTTCAAAACATCCCTTATCAGACCCTGAGTTCTCTATTGAAACCACAATTGCAGCTGCCTACAACCACTTTCAGGCAGAGAATTCTTGATCCTAACCACTCACTGCTGAAAAAGTTTTTCCTTATATTGCCTTTTCACCAAGCACCTCAAATCTGTCTCTTCTGGTAACATTTTAGCATTCAGAGCTGAAATAACTGCACAGAGGCCGGTATCCCATCACCAAGTCAACCTTTAATTACTTGTGCACAGCACACTGGCTGTGACCAACCACTCGAAGTCAGTCACCTGAACTGAGGAGATGCTAATCTCCTGGTTATATTTTTGACATTAAGGATTGTAAAATTGCATATGAAATAACTGCATAGAGGCCGGTTCCCATCAACAAGTCACCCTTTATTTACTAGAACAGGAACAGGGACAGTCTAGGATCAATTGACGCTCTCGGCTGTTTCTTTAAGCCTGCCTTCAATGCTTGGACCGCCATTTCTGCTAGACCATTGAAAAATGGATGGTATAGAGCTGTCCTTATGTGCCAAGTGACATTTAAATTCTGAAAATATTTGAATTCCCTGCTGGTAAATGATGTCCCATTGTCCGTGACCAAAACTTCTGGGAGTCCATGTATCGCGAATGATGTTCACAGCTTCTCAATTGCAATCCCTGAGTTTGCCGAACGAACTTTACACACGTTCAACCACTTTGAATGGGCATCCCCAGTGACCAGGGACACGGAGTCTGTGAAAGGACCAGCATAGTCAACATGCAACCAAGTCCAAGGTTTTCCCGGCCATTCCCACAAATCTGGGGGGACTTTCCAGGATATGCACTCTCCTGGGTGCTATCCTATGAGTTTTCTTACTCAAGTCAGGCCTTGTTGGACTCCTTTGCTGTCTCGAGTCCACATTCTGGCAGCAATTACAATGGCCTGCTGCCCCAGATCCTGAAGGACTTGTTAGCCACATGGCTGAGGCTTGGTTTTTTTGTGGGGTTCTGCTGTGGGCTGGCCTAGGGTCCCTCTGGTTAGGATATGCCCTGCATGAGGCTCTGTGATTGCCTAACTCAAGTGATGTTCTCCAACTGAGCTTGGGGAGGTAAAGGGAGTCCACGTCTACTAGGATGCCTGTAGCTCATATCCTCCACTTGCTGCATTTTCTAATGACAAAGCCAATTGTAGTGCATGTTTGAAGTCCATTTGGGCTTCAGCTAGTAGGTGCTTCTGCATGGTTACATCATTAATCCCACATACCAAACAGTCTCTCAGCATCTCATTCAGTGTTAACCCAAAATTACATGCCTCTGCCAGTCATCTGAACCTCATCAAAAATCCCAATTTTTTGGGACTCCCCCAGTTCTCTAACAGCCAAATAAAACCAATAGCATCTCAGAATTAGAAGAAGTTTGTAATATTTCTTAACCAGCTCCATCAGCTCTTGGAAGGATTTAGTCTCTGGTGCCTCTGGGAAAGTTAAGCCCCTTATAACCTAGAATGCTGCGGGTCTGCAAGCAGTCAGAAGGATTACTCATTGCTTTTCATCTGCCTCAATTTCATTTGCCTGGAAAAATTATTGCATTCTTTCCACATACTGGGCTCAGTCTTCAACAGCAGGATCAAATGAGTCAAGCTTCCCAAATAAAGGGATGATGCCAGAAATGCTTACCCCAACTCCAAGATGAC